GCATGACAGTGGTGGCGTGGGCACGGGGGTGAAGAAGAAACGGAAGAAAAAGGATCTGGGAGAGCAGGAAGGGGGAGAAAAAGCAGCCGTGGAGGTGAAACCAAAGAGGAGGAGAGAGCCTAAAGAACCAAAAGAGCCTAAAAAGGCTAAGGAGCCCAAGAAGCCGAAGGAGCCCAAGCAGAGGGAGGTGGCCAAGAAGCCCCGGAAACCTCGGGAACCCAAAGCCCCCAAGGAGCCTAAAGACAAGAAGAGCGGCTCTGAGCCTGCCCCCAGAGCAAGACCCAAGAAGAGCAGGTGGGTGGTGGTGCGACCTTGTCTGTGCCTGGTGTGGACGGGGCTGTGGGCTCGCAGGAGCTGCGCTGGGCCGCCACGTTGCAGGGTGCGCGGGCTCCTCGTGCGGAAGGCTGGATGCGCCAGTCGGGAGGCCAGGATGAGCTCTCTGGCCATGCAGGGACAGGACAGGCGGGTGCCCTTTTGGGGATGAGGCCCTGTGAGACTTCAGATCCAGAAGAGGACCGAAGAGTCTTGGCCTCTCCTTGGCCTGGCCTTTGTGCCAAGTGTCCTGGGGGGCAGAGGGACCCTAGAGAGGTGTCTCACAGGACCGCGAGGTGCTCTGCAGTAGAGGGCCTGCCGTACCTGTTTTGGGGCCCGGGCAGAGGGTGTGTGAGTGAGACGGACCTGACCCTGGGCTCTCTGTGCGAGCAAGGGTCCCTGTACGCCCGCGGGCCGGCCGCCTGCCTTCCCTGGCCCAGGTCTGGGAGGATGGTGGAGCACAGATCGTCTCCTCTCCCTCTCCTGGGCAGCAGGACCTGTCCCTCCCTTGCAGCTGCGGAGCTGTGCTGGCAGCTAAGGACACCCTTGTACTGCACAGCCCAACGCCACCGCCTCCGGTAATTCCTCATCCTTTTAATTAACAGGCTGATTGGCCAGAAGCTCTGATTTCTTAGCTCTGATTTCTTTTTAATTGGGAATGTGTGCAGATAGCGGAGCAGGTCTCGGCAGCACCAGTGTCATTTGGTTTACTGTTGTGGACTAGCAAGAATAAGTGTTTTTGCAGAGTCCTGTACAAAGCAGACCTATCAGTTGGAGCTGGGCTCTCCTCATATACTGTAAATAATCCATAGGATGAATATATTTCTACCATAAATGGGATTAGTATAGGTGCCAGCTGGGAATTTTTCAGCAAAACCTTTCTTGTTAGAAAACACCAGTTTGGTAGAGCTTCTCAAGGGCTCTTTCCTGGAAGTGGTCACCAGAACGGGCATCCCAGGGTCTGTGGGATCTGCCCACCTCCCTCCCGCCGTGGCTGCCCGCAGGACGTGTGTGCAGGGCGAGGACTGAGCCGCAGGTCTTCCACAGCCCTGCTCCTTCAGAGCTCGCTGACAGGCAGATCCCGGAGAGGCCAGGGCTGCAGAGCCAGCGCCAGCGCAGCCGGTAGTGCCACTGGCATGGGCTGGCGGCGAGCAGGAGAAGGTGTGGAGCGGCAAAGCTGGGCACCGTGTCCCCGGCGGGTCCCTGAGCTGTGCAGCGCTGTCACTTCTGGTCTTCCTCCAGCCCGGGGCTTTGCACATGAGGAAGCCAAGCCCCTGCGTCCTTGCGGGCCAGTGAGCCGGAGCAGATGGGATGGACAGATCAAGCGGGCAGTGCCGGGAGGGTGAGGGAAGGGCTCCTCAAGGCCCCGAGGAGGGCTGCAGTGGAGGGGCTGGAGGTGGAGAGGGAAGGAGAGGGGCTGCAGGCAAGGAGGAGAAGGGCGAAGCCCATGTAAAGGCAGCACTGGGCACTGAGGAGGATCCCGGGATGAGGGATGCGGCTAGCAGCTTTTCCTAATGACACCTCTGCTGCACCAGTAAGAATCTGCCATGTGGGCAGTTCGCAGAGGTCCACCCCTGCGGTGGGACCTTCGGGACCAGACCAAAGCAGGGGAGACGTGGGGAAGAGCAGACCCTGGAGGCTTGGGCTCCTGGAGGCACTCACGGCTCTCATCCAGGAGCTTGTTGCCACCCTGGCAGGTCCCTTGGCTGCCAGCAGTGCCTTCACAGGGCGCTAAAAGCAGCCCATGACAGTGCGACCTGCCGTGGGTGGCTGGTGGGCAGGCCACTCTGCTAGACATGGGGACTGTGGGGGGGTGACCCCAGCTGCAGAGCTGGAGACCCTGGTGCCTCCTGCAAAGGCGCGGCAGGGTCTGGGGGTACCGGGGGGGGCTGAAGAGGGATCTGCTTGCTGTGCTGGGGGCCAGCGTGTGGAGCCCCGGTGAAGAGGTCACTTCATGCAAAAAAGACCAATTAATATAACTCCGTAACACATCATGCAGCCAGAAGAAACTGTGTGTGGAAGTCTGAGAGCGCCCCAAAGCTCTGTGCTTTCCTAATGCCCTGTCCCGGTGGAGCCTGAGCCCGTGGTGCTTCCTCCCGCTCACCTGCACCTTCCAGGAGGAGCCTGGTCCTCCCCTGCTGCTTGGAAAGTCCAGCCCGTGGGTCCTTCTTGCAGCTTTCCC